ATTTGGCCCAAGGCGCTTTTATTCGTTCTAGAAGAAAATGGTTAGAACAAGGTGAACAAAATACTAAATATTTTCACAACTTGGAAAAACTAAAATATTGTTTAAATTCTTTAAATAAACTTAAAATAGATGGACAAATCTCAGACGACCCTAAAATAATCTCAAATTGTGTTCATGAATTTTATAAAAATCTACACTCTCAGCAGGATGATCTGTAGGAGGCGTCCTCCTTTTTCTCTCTCATCCAACATGATGCACCTTGTATAACTGAAATGGAAAAAGAACTTTGTGATAAGGAATTATCTTTAGAAGAAATTAAAAATAGCATTATGCAACTTAAGGACAATCGATCTCCTGGTAATGATGGCCTAACCAGTGAATTTTATAAAAGATTTAATGACATTATTTCCATATTCTTACTAGATGTTTATAAGGAAGCCATAGCATTTGGAAAACTCCCTCCATCTTTACGTCAGGGTTTGATTACTTTAATCCTCAAACCTGACAAAGACAGATTATCTCTTGATAATTGGAGACCAATAACTTTAATTAATAATGACGCCAAACTACTGGCACATGTTTTTGCGCAAAGATGGAAATTTTGCTTAAATACAATAATTGATGACTGTCAGTCTGGCTTTATGGAAGGGAGGCACATAAGTAATTATATTCGATTAATACTGGATCTTATTGATTATAGTGATTATGTAACAGATAGTGGTTATATTCTATTTGCTGATATCTATAAGGCATTTCATACTGTAAGTCACAAATTTTTATTTGATTGCTTGGATTTTTTTGGATTTGGTCAATATTTTAAACAGGCAATTCAAACACTATACAATGATTGTAATAGTTCTGTTAAGTTGTCTCATGGGACTACTAGTAGATTTAACATTGTCAGAGGAATTAAACAGGGTGATCCTGCAGCTCCCTTTCTATTTCTTCTTGTTATGCAAACGATGGTCTTACATACAGTATATACAAAAATTCTTTTGAAGGTATTAAAATTTTAGACAAAGAAGTAAAATGTTGTCAATTAGCTGATGATACTGCCTTCTTTATAAAAAACCACGACGAGGTTAAAAAAAGTTATAAATTGTCTTGGAATATTTTCTGTGACTTCAGGTTTAACTTTAAATCTTTAAATCAAACAGACTTTCCATTAAAAGAAAACAGGCATCATTTAACAGAAATTGATGGTATTTCTGTTAAAGAAGAGGCCACATATTTAGGAATTACCATTTGCAGGAGCCAGGCAGAGAGAACTGGCTTTAATCTTACTCCAATATTACCAAAAATCAAAAGCAAATTTGATATGTGGCTGATGAGAGACCTGTCTCTCAGAGGCCGAATTCTCCTATCAAAAACTGAAGGTCTATCAAGATTAGTATACCCCGCTAAAGTTTTATATGTCCCAAAATCATTTATCAAACAAACTAACTCCTATCTGTTAAACTTTATTTGGAAAAATAAACCCCATTACTTGAATAAAAAGATTTTATGCAATTTGTTTACTCAAGGAGGCTTGGGTGTACTTGACTTTGACTCATCCAATATAATATTCAAGGTGAACTGGATTAAACAGTATGTTAAAAATAAAAATAAGCTATGGTACTTAATTCCAAATCTACTTTTTGAAAAAGTTGGTGGCATTGAATTCCTCCTAAAGTGTAATTTTTCTGTGAGTAAACTTCCAATCCAATTATCTAACTTTCACAAGCAAGCACTTGAATCCTGGCTTCTTATATATAATCATAATTATTCTCCCTATAGACAACTAATCTGGAATAATAAATATATCAAATTTAAGAATAAATCCCTTTTCTTGCACAATTGGGTTGAAAACAACATCTTATTAGTGTCCCAGCTGTCTAAGCAAGAGGGGCAGTTGCTCTCATATTCTGAATTTCTGACCAAATTCAATGTTCCAATATCTCCTAGAAAATTTGCTATCGTTTTTGACGCAATTCCTTCAGGTCTTACCTACCAACATACCAAACAGACTGCCAATATCTAGAACAGATATCACTATTAATGGTATTAACATAAAAGACAGGAAATGGAATAATAAATTTATCAGAATAATACTGCATAACCCTATTACCTTACGATCTAAATTCTTTTGGAATTCCCAGTTTGAAGATATC